GTTCTAGTCCTGACCCAGAACCTCAGCAGGTCAGGGTTCTAGTCCTGACCCAGAACCTCAGGAGGTCCGGGTTCTAGTCCTGACCCAGAACCTCAGCAGGTCAGGGTTCTAGTCCTGACCCAGAACCTCAGGAGGTCCGGGTTCTAGTCCTGACCCAGAACCTCAGCAGGTCAGGGTTCTAGTCCTGACCCAGAACCTCAGGAAGTCCGGAATGTTCAGTCACTCAGACGACTCGGACTCGTTCACTCACCCAGACGACTCGGACTCGTTCACTCACCTAGACGACTCGGACTCGTTCAGTCACTCAGATGACTCGGACTCGTTCACTCACCCAGACGACTCTGACTCGTTCTGTCACTCAGACGACTCGGACTCGTTAACTCACCCAGACGACTCGGACTCGTTCACTCACCCAGACGACTCAGAATCGTTCACTCACCCAGACGACACGGACTCGTTCAGTCACTCAGATGACTCGGACTCGTTCACTCACCCAGACGACTCAGACTCGTTCACTCACCCAGACGACTCGTTCACTCACCCAGACGACTCGGACTCGTTCACTCACCCAGACGACTCAGACTCGTTCACTCACTCAGACGACTCGGACTCGTTCAGCCACCCAGACGACTCGGACTCGTTCAGCCACCCAGACGACTCGGACTCGTTCAGCCACCCAGACGACTCGGATTCGTTCACTCACCCAGACGACTCGGACTCATTCAGTCACCCAGACGATTCGGACTCGTTCACTCACCCAGACGACTCGGACTCGTTCACTCACCCAGACGACTCGGACTCGTTCACTCACTCAGATGACTCGGACTCGTTCAGTCACCCAGACGACTCGGACTCGTTCACTCACTCAGATGACTCGGACTCGTTCAGTCACCCAGACGACTCGGACTCGTTCACTCAGATGACTCGGACTCGTTCAGTCACCCAGATGACTCGGACTCGTTCACTCACCCAGACGACTCGGACTCGTTCACTCACTCAGATGACTCGGACTCGTTCAGTCACCCAGACGACTCGGACTCGTTCACTCACTCAGATGACTCGGACTCGTTCAGTCACCCAGACGACTCGTTCAGT